AGAGAGAGAGAGAGAGAGAGAGAGAGAGAAGTAAAACTTATTGTTATATATATATATATTAATATTATATCATAATATAAATTGATATAAAAAAATTATATGACAACTATCTCTCTCTCTCTCTCTCTCTCTCTCTCTCTCTCTCTCTCTCTCTCTCTCTCTCTCTCTCTCTCTCTCTCTCTCTCTCTCTCTCTCTCTCTCTCTCTCTCTCTCTCTCTCTCTCTCTCTCTCTCTCTCTCTCTCTCTCTCTCTCTCTCTCTCTCTCTCTCTCTTAAGTATAATATTGTAGATGAGTTTWGGCGACAATAAATAAATTTTTTTATTATTATATATTTTATTATTATTATTATTATTACTTTCAAACATATCATTGATATTATTGTTGTTTTTTTTTGTTTTATTTTCTAATATAATATGACTAAACTAAAAATATTTTCAATAAATTATTATATTATTATATAAGCAAAACTATTATTATAATTATAATATATATATAATAATATATTATTTGTTTAGTAAAGTGTTTTTCAAAAAATTTATTTATATATATATATTAGTTATTTAAGTTATTTCCGGATATTGAAATAGTTATTATTATTATAACTATAATAACACTTATATATCAAAATATATTACTAATTTGAGATAATTTAAGTGTATATTTGTTTGAAATATTATCGATAATAATAATAATAATGGAAATTTCATGGAAATATTATCTACTATTATATATACAATAACTAATATATACTGTATGTTAGTTGTTATTAACAACAATTCAAATTATTATTATTATTATTATTATTATTATTAATGCAATAAAATGATCAATGTAAATTTTGTTATATTTCAATAAACCTATTTTTAATAATACAAAAAAAATTATTATTATGAATAAAGAGGTAAGTTATTTAAAATATTATTAAAWTATTATTTTTTTATAAAAATATAACTAAAAATAAMTAAAATATTAAATTAATATTTTAAATAATTATTGAAAAATAAATCAAAATATTATTTTATAAAAAATATATAACTAAAAAATAAAATATTAAATTAATATATAAATAAATATTGAAAAAATAAATAGATTTTATATTTAATTAAAAATATTTATTGTATTAAATTATATTTTATTTTATATATAATTTGTTATTAAATTATATTTATTATAATAATTAATTAATTAACAAATATTTATTTTTTAATTAACAAATATTTATTTTTTAATTAACAAACAATAAAATAAATGATAGAAATCGGGCTCAAGTATCAAAAGGTCGTCCAGCTATAGGATAGCACTGAGAAAGTCGACACATTTTACTAATGAGAACCGGGAGGACAGGGATCCTGAACAACAACCCCAACCCCAACAAGTGTCGGACAATGACTTATCATCCAATGATGATAGCAATGATGATAATAATAATACAAATCATAACAACAATAATAATAATAYCATTAACTACCCGAAGCTACAGGTGCTCGACCAGCACCAGCACCGGCAGCAGCCTATGRCCAATGAGGAGGAGGAGGAGGACAATGATGTTATTACAGCACAGCACCAGATAAATGGCCATACATTAGCTGATGACCAAACTATACCATTAGTATCCGACACTACTACCACTGCCTACCCTAAGCTACCAGTGCTCGAAACTATGATACTTGTCAAGGGTGCTGATGGATGTAATATCGATGATGCAGGCAATGAGGAACTACCTAAAAAACCACATRATGATGCCAATAGTGATGATGATGATGATGATGAGGACAGGGATATTAAATAKAGGCARAGCACYGGTAGTAATGGCTGTACRAAATGGTTGTGCCAAAAGTGTTGCTGCAATTATTGTCAATGTTGTCCCCAATGTTGCCTACAATTGATGATCAGTTTTGAGCATCTGTTGAATAGTCTGACTAATTGGTCGATGAATTGTTTGCGTGTTTTTACAAAATAATTAATTAATTAATTAATAATAATTATTATTATTTGTAAATAATTATTATTAATTTACATAATTATTAATTAATTTAATTATTCAAAAAATAATAAATCTATATTGATTTAAATATATATTTAAAAATTTATAATAATKARTAATWTAATTTTTTTTTTTAAAAATTATGACAATATATATATATATYACTAATWAATTTTTACAAACTAAACAAATAATTTTATATATATAATTTAATTTTTTTTATAAAAATAATTTTTACTGTTTAAGTTAATTATATAAATATGATTTCATCTAATAATTAAAGTAAAATACTAATAATAATATTAAATTATTAAACAATTATATACAGTAAAAAAATTATAATATGTAGTAAACATTAAATAAACATTTTATACTTATATAATACAAATATTATTTGTAATTTAAATWATTATTAATATATATATATATATAATTAAARTAATATCTGAAAAATATTTTAATAAATTAATTAAAAATTGTTTTTATAACATTTTAATCAGTTTTTAAAAAAAATAAAAACTATGAGTTTTWTCTGGTCAATTATAAATAAACAAATAAATAATGTACTTAATAATAATTTAAAATATTTAAAATAAATTTTAATYTATTAATTTGATTAGTAATAATTAAAAAAAATATAAACTAATAAAAAAAACTAATTTTGAAAATCAATTATTTATTTAAATTAAGTACTATTCTTAAAATAGTAGTTTTTTTAAAAAAAACAATAATAATTATAATATAAAAAATAATAWAAYTATTATTAATTATAAAATTAWATAATTTKTTTATAAAAAAAGTTACATTTTTTAGTAGTTAAAAAAATATTAKTTAATAATAGTTAATCTAAATAGTTTAGTATTATAAAGTATTATATTATATTATATTATATATATATAATAGTATTATATCATAATAAAAATCAACGTAAAAAATATCWACAAAATTATATGACAACTATCTCTCTCTCTCTCTCTCTCTCTCTCTCTCTCTCTCTCTCTCTCTCTCTCTCTCTCTCTCTCTCTCTCTCTCTCTCTCTCTCTCTCTCTCTCTCTCTCTCTCTCTCTCTCTCTCTCTCTCTCTCTCTCTCTCTCTCTCTCTCTCTCTCTCTCTCTCTCTCTCTCTCTCTCTCTCTCTCTCTCTCTCTCTCTCTCTCTCTCTCTCTCTCTCTCTCTCTCTCTCTCTCTCTCTCTCTCTCTCTCTCTCTCTCTCTCTCTCTCTCTCTCTCTCTCTCTCTCTCTCTCTCTCTCTCTCTCTCTCTCTCTCTCTCTCTCTCTCTCTCTCTCTCTCTCTCTCTCTCTCTCTCTCTCTCTCTCTCTCTCTCTCTCTCTCTCTCTCTCTCTCTCTCTCTCTCTCTCTCTCTCTCTATCTCTCTCTCTCTCTCTCTCTCTCTCTCTCTCTCTCTCTCTCTCTCTCTCTCTCTCTCTCTCTCTCTCTCTCATTGAAAATATAATGTCAGATAAGTGTTTGGCGACAATAAAAAATATTTATTACTTTCAAAATATTTAGTAATATTTGATATTTTATTTCAAAATAAAAAAAATTATGACTAAACTAAAAATATTTGTTATAAATAATAATTATTATTATATTGATATACTGTATATATATATATATAKTAAAATATTATTATTATTATTAYTATTAATAAGTAAAGTATAATCAAATTTATAATATAAATAAATAAATAAAATTAACTATTATTTTATAATAATAATAATTATACAGTTATTAYAATATAATTATTATTATTAAATTSTAATAAAAATGATTTAATATAATTTAATTAATTATTTAAAATCACAAYWAACTTATAATAATAATAATACAAAAATTATGGATAAAAATGTAAGTATTATTTAGTATTAATTAGAAAATAATTAAATTTATTTTTTTATTAAAAAAAAAATTATAATTTTTATTTAAAGTCGGACAACGATTTATCGTCCAATGATAGCRATTACGATAATATTAAAAATAATAATAATAATAACAATACTATTAACTATCCTAAACTACCGGTGCTCGACCAGCACCAGCAGCAGTCTATGGCCAATGAGGTAGACAATGASGACAATGTAGTTATTACATTACAGCCACAAATCAATGGCCAATTATCTACTGATGAAAATAGACCACTAATCCAGGACACCAACACCGCTACCATTGCCTATCCTAAGCTACCAGTGCTCGACCAGTGCCATCAGCCTATGCTTATTGTCAATGATGATGATACTGATGATGATGGTAATGGGGAACTACCTAAAAAACATGATGWTACTGATGATGATAATAAGCACCCACCTACAAATTGTTTGAACCCATTGACCAATTGGTTATGCCTGTATTGTTGCTGTAATAGTTGTCAATGTTGTCCCTGGTGTAACATAATTTGTTGCCTATGTTTAAGTTTATGTGATAAAAATCAAAATAGACTAGGTTAATTATTATTTTATTTTTTTCTAATTAAAAAAAATTGGATGCTATAATGTTATACATGTTTTTTTTAAATAGTTATTTTTATAATTTTCAAAAATAATTAATAATTTTTTTTTATAAAAATTATTGTCAGTATTATTATTATTTTTTTAAAATCTATTATCATATAATTATTTATTCATAAATATTTAATTATTATTAAAAAAAATTATTGCTAGTATTATTATTATTATTATTTAAACTAGTATTATCATATAATCATTTATTCATAAATATTTAATTTATTTTTTAAATTATATAAAATAACTATTATCAATATATTAAAAAATAATTTACATGTACTGTATTACTTAAATTTATGTGGGTAAAATAATTTTTTACAATATTTCTATGTATATAACTATTATGTATCAATTATATACCCTGAGTATTTTGTTTGTATAGTTTAATGTAACAAAAAAATAATATCTAAAAAAACAATAAAAATTTTTATCATAAAACTTATTAAACCATAAAAAATAATGTACTTAATTGATAATTTAATATTTATTTTTTTGTAAATAATAATTAATAGGCAAAAATAATAATAATAATAATTATAAAGTTATAACTAATACTCAAAAAAAAATAAAAATAAAATGTTTAACAAAATATCCAAAATTTATTTATTTAATTAATTAATTAATAATAWAATTTTCATAACAAACTTGTTATAATATAACTACTGTACCCAAAAATAATTATAATTATAATTAATATTATTATTACAGTTAATTAAAAATGTACTAGGTTACATTTATTTTTGTTTAATGGTATATCGGTGTTGGGGTTGGTTTGGGCGGAATATTTTCGACAATTTCCCGGATAAATTTGCTAACCCTATCGTACGATTGGGTGGCCCATAAAATCAATTGGTGTCTTTTAGCTGGATCAGTTTCATGTTTCAATGCCTCCTGGGTTTTATTCTAGTAGATTTTTTTATATAGAAAAAATAAATAATAAATAATTTTTTATAAAAAAAATATTTAAAAAATATTTTTAGTACCAAAATTAAAACAMTAAAAAAWTAAAATATTTTTGTAATTTTAAAATAAATGTGTYTAATAAAAAATGTTTTAGATTATTTAGYTAATATTTTTAGTTATTATTATTATTATTAATTTTTAATAAACTTTTAATCAATTATTTGTTTTATTATATATTTAGTTTCTATTGTATTTTATTTTTTATCGTTAAGTGATATACTATATATATATACAGTAAATATTTTTTTCATTTAATAAAATAAAWTAATTTCTARAAATTTAAGTSCAATTACTACGATATATATATATATATATATAAATGTTATTAAATTAATAATTTATTATAAATGAAATAATTTWTTTCTATTAATAAAATTATTATTATATAATATATTAATTGTTATTTAAAAACTAATGYCTAATAATAATATTAATTAAATAAACTCAAAAAACATGAAAAATTTTATAAAAATATATAGTTTAACATTAGCTAACATTAATATATATAACTGTTTTTTTTAAAATATTTACATATTTTTTATAACTAACCTCCAAATCGTTGATACCTTTCCTCAATAGACCMGAAAAATTGGTTATATAATCACTTTTCATAATATCGTTGATTGTTTTGAGCCATTGGTCACTGTCTAACATAGCTTGATGTTCATGTTTAAGATCATCAGGTTCATCACCGTRACATTGATTTGGTACTAGATCATTTTTTAAATTAAAAAAATATAGTAATTTAATAAATAACTTRAAAATCTAAACCGCAAACGTTTAGCTAATTWATTAATATTATTAACTATAAATTTATACTAGCAYAATTTATCTAGTATTTATATTTTACAGTTTATTKWTMAAATATATAAAAATTWAAATWATTTAAATAAAAATTAATTAATTAATTAATAGATAATATACCCATTAGTAATACCATAGGTAATATAGCCAACAAATAATAAAATTTTGTCATATTTTTTTGGTTAGTTTTTTTAGTTGCAATTAATTAATTAATTAATTTATAACTTTATTTATTAGTACTATTATTTAGTTGAACTAAAAAAACTAAAAATTTAATAAATACTTATTATTAATATTATTATTAATAATAGACACTTGAATTTTTTAGATGATAACACAAATTGTATTTTATTTAACATTATTTTTATTATCAAAMTTATTATGATTAGTAYTATTATATATAATAAATCCTAATATATATAAGTTATTTATCTAATAATMAATTTGACATTTAAAGTATATATATATAAAAWAATATTTTACTATTTTTTTCGATAATTTAATTTTTACACTAATATGTCATTATTATTATTATTTCTATTATTATTAACAAATAATAATTTTTTTCTTATTATTAAAATTTAATAAAAAAAATAATATTAATTATTTATAATAATTATATTAATATTTAATGATTTATTTAACAACAAAATTAAATTAACAATTAAAACAAATATGTAATTATAATATAAATGTTTAGTTAAATAATAAAAAAATTWAATAATAAATTTAATTAAAATAATTTGGCCGATAATTCTGTACTAATATTAGTTAAAATATTAGTTTATTTTRTTTGTATAGATTGTTTATAAATTATAAAGTTAAAGTTTTTAAAAATTTATATATACTGTATATATATATATATATATACATGATTAGATTTAATATTAAAATTATAATACACTATTGATTTTAAAAATTTTCATTATAAACTTAACAAAAATTTTACAAATTGTAACATTTTAAATTTGTAAAAAATAGTAGCCATTATATATTAAACAAAAATATAATTAACTAGTTATTAGTTAAAGAAAAAATATTACTAATTTTTTTAATGTGCTAAAAATTTATTATAAATAAAATATTGATACTTAAATATATGATAATTTTTTTTTGTTTATAAATTGCTAATAATATACAAATAACAGCTAATAACTTATTGTAAAATTATAATGATCCTGATAAAATATAATATCTAAATAAAATTAACAAAAAATTATAATAAAATTTTATAATTTTAATTTATTAGAAATTTATAAGCATTCTATAATACATAAAGTTTTATATTAAAAACTATTAGATAAAACAGTTATAAAGTGTTTAAAATTAAAAATTATTAAAAATAAGTAGAAATTTAAAATAAATTAAACAAATTTTTTTATAAATTGATGATTGAATAAAATATTAGTTTTAAATAATTTTTTGTTTGTTTTTTTAAATACAATTAAAATTTAATTTAAGTAAACTATTATAACGTTTTATTATGATATAAATTTATAAAATAAATTTTATAGTATATAATACTAATATTTGTTAATTATATAATTCATAATTATATTACTTGTTAATAATTTTATTTTTAAATAATCTAAAATAAAATAATAATAAATTTAATGTTATTTTAATATCCTATTTATTTATACGAATAATTATTATTAGTTTAAATTGTCTATTAATTAGAAAAAAAGTTACAGTTTTATAAATAACATATTTTTTATTATTATAATAGTATTTCTAAAAAATTTTAGAAAATTAAAAACTGTAACATTTAAATTTTAAAAATATTAACMAATGTAAAATWWATTTAACTGTAGTATTGCTAAAATTAAATAACAATATTTATAAYTATTGTTATTTATAATATTGTTGTGTAATACAGCATCCTACCGACTGCGCCACTATTTATTTTTATATTTTTAAATTTTATGCATAATTTTTTAATTAATAAAAATTTATTATTAATATTTGTTAAAAACTTTATACAGTATTTTCCAATAAAATAAAATAAATACAATTTTTTGAGCATATATTTTAAAAATGTACTTAAATTCAATGTAAAAATTATTTGTTTCAAAATATATTTATATATTTACACTTAAATATAATATTATTAACTTAATAATATTAAGTACTGTAGTTGTATCATACACTTATATTTACATTTACACACATACACATATACATACACACATACATACACACATACATACACACATACATACACACATATATACACACATACATACACACATACATACACACATACATACACACATACATACACACATACATACACACACATACATACATACATACACACATACATACACACATACATACACACATACATACACACATACATACACACATACATACACACACATACATACATACATACACACATACATACACACATACATATAGTAAATGATTATATACTCATTGAGAGTACTTAAGTACTAAAAAAATAATATAAAATTATTTATTTAATAGTATATTAAGTAGTATTACTATATTTACTGTTAACTAAATGTTATTGTCATAGGATATGATATATTATTAAATATATATAATTAATTTCTAATAAATTTTTATAATATTACATTATTTAATATTTTTTTGTTGTTGTTGARTATAATAGGAGGGTTAKATAAATGGGGTTTTTTTAATTTAAAAAAAAACTAAAAAGYTATACCATAATAGTTAATAGTAGATATGTACCTAAAAATTAATAGTTTAATACATTACATAATAATATAAATAATATTACAAAAAATAAACAAGTACATTTTTGGGGATAAACAAATWTTTTTTTGATGAGTATATATAAAGGCATTTGGAAAGTAGTAATAATAAATTTGATATCAAATTAAATATCAAAAAATAAATAATAAGTTTTTTTAAGTGTAAAAATAASTTTTTAAATAAAATAATTTGTTTTATTTAAATTTAAAATATATATATTTAKTATTATTATTATTATTACAAACATGTTKTCAAACATTAAACTTATAGCTATATGTTGTCTAACAATACTAATAGTGATGACCAATAATAATGGACTAATAAAATGTAATTTAATTATTTAAAAAACTAAAAAATTATAATTTAWTTATTTAAAAAATAWARAATTATAATTTAATTATTTAAATAAAAATTATAATTTAATTTAATTATTTAAATAAATAAAATTATTATTTATTTAATTATTTAAATAAAAAAATTATAATTAATTATAAATAAATAATAATATTTTTAGGTCAAGAGGTCGAGGGCTCGGACTATGACCMGTCAGAAGCGGAAACWTTAACGCCGACCGAAACCGAGGACAACAWCAACAACAAYAAGGCATCGRTCGATAGTACCGACGGGGAGGAGTCGACACCGTCATCGTCATCGGTGGCCAACAATCCGTTGTCCAGTTTGATGACCCGTTTGACTYTGAAAGCTATCCGATTGCAGGACAGGGTTAAGGAAACAATGGACARCGGAGTCCAACGGGTAAACAAACGGGTCGGCGATATGACTGATCGGATGCGMSAAACGGCCGATCGGGTTGAGCATCGAGTGGAGGACGTATTGGGTMGGTTCGGTAGTCTGGGTAGTGGACTGGCCGGCGGTTTCGGTAGTCTGACTGGTCTGGGAGGCAGCGGTGGTGGCAGTGGTGGTCAGGGGACAGGTAGAGGAGCGGGTGGTAGTGGTGGCGGTCTATTGGGTGGCCTATTAGGAGGTGGTGGCGGGGATTTA